GGAAAAACCTTCCTGACCCCCCCCCTAAAACCTTCCTCGGGAAGGTGTTTTGAAGATTTTGGGAAAAACCGTCCTGAAACCTTCCTAGAATCTTCCTCGGGAACGCCTTTGGAAGGTTGGTTTAGAGAAACCTTCCTGCAACCTTCCTAAAACCTTCCTCAGGAAGGTTTTTGGAAGGGTTGTGGGAAAAAACCTTCCTGGAACCTTTTTAAAACCTCCCCCAGACAGTTTTTGGAAGGTCGTTTGGGAAAAACCTTCCTGAAACCTTCCTCAGGAAGGTTTTTCGGAAGGTTTTTTTGTTGACAAAACTTTATGGAACCTTCCTAGAACTTTCCCCAAGAAAGTTTTTGGAAGGTTTTTGGGACAAAACTTCCTGGAACCTTCCAGAAACCTTTCCCGGGAAGGTTTTTGGAAGGTTTGTTTTGGGCAAACCTTCCTGAAACCTTGGTCGGGAAGGTTTTGGAAGGGTTTGGGAGAAAACCTTCCTGGAACCTTCCTCAAACCTCAGGAAGGTTTTGGGAAGGTTTTTGGGACAAACCTTCCTGGAACCTTCCTAAGACCTTCCTCAGGAAGGTTTGTGGCAGGTTTTTGGGAAAAACCTTCCTGGAACCTGCCTAACACTTTTGTTTCAGGAAGGTTGTTGGAAAACTTTTGGGGAAAAACTTCCTGGAACCTTCCTAAAACCTTCCTCGGGAAACTGTTTGGAAGGTTTTGGGGAAAGCCTTCCTGGAACCTTCCTAAAACCTTCCTCAGGAAGGTTTTTGGACGGTTTTTTTGGGGGGGGGACCCCTCCTGAAACCTTCCCCAAGAAAGTGTTTGGAATGTTTTTGACAAGCCGTCCTGGAACCTTCCTAAAACCTTCCTCCGGAAGGTTTCAGAAGGGGTTGGCCGAACTGCCGCACCCAAGTGTGTATGTGGGTACGCTGCGTATTCGATCCTCTCCTCAACTCAATATGCGCTAACGTTTCGAGTATGTACCCTCTATCCTCTCTCTCTCTCTATATATATATGTGCTCCCTCAGTGTCTTGTTGTTGTCTCTCTCTCTCTCTCTATCTGTCTCTCTTTCTCAACGTCCCTGTCCCTCTATATATACACTAGAACAACGCGCGCTTCGCGCGCGCTTAGGTTCTAGTGGAGGTCCCAAACGTTGGCCACGCACGGAGTGGAGCCTGGGGCCGCTATTGACACGATGGCTACAAACCGCACCGAACACCGAGAACAGGTCGTCCAACCGAAACGGCCGAACCGGACCTGACGCGACCCCGGCGCCCTAGCCCCTTCCTCCTCATCATTGTTTCTTCCTCTTCGCCCTCGTCCTCGTCCTCGTCCTCGTCCTCGTCCTTAGCGAGTCGCGGCGGCGACCCCTTCGACACACCATGCCGCGCAAGCGCGTAGAGTGTCACTCCGCTTTGCTGGGCTGGAGGGCTGGAAAATGCTCGGGACGCGATGAAGAGCACTATCCGGATCATGCGCCACTGACTGTCGTAAAGAATTTATGGATTCCTGGCGGTCTCTGGGGAGCCTTGCAAGGGCATGTCGTGGACGCCCTGGGTCTCTTTGAGCCTCCGGGGGGGCCTCGTGGGGGCATCTCGGGGCCTCTTCGGAGCCTCTCGGGGACCTCTTCGGAGCGTCTCCGGGACTCCATGGGCTCCCTCGCGGGGCCCCTATAGAGCCTGCCTGGCCAAGTGCGCAATGGTGGACCATCCCCTGCGGCAGCAGGAGGACACGGAGGGAAAGCAGCAGGGGAGGAGGGGATGGAAGAGGACGAGGGCGAGGAAGAGGCACAAGAGGAGGAGGAGGAGGAGGGGGTATGGGGGAGTTCACCGTCGAGTGGTTTTTGGCGGTCTCTGGAGAGCCTCTGAGCCCGCTATCCTATCCCTCCTCCTGGTGGGGGTGGTGTGGGCGAAGCAAGAATGCAAACTTACAGTATTGATCGGTTCGTCCGTTGGCACACTCGTCGAAGGGAGCTCGGAGGCCAAACTGTGAACTGAACATTCTTGATTTGCCCGTCTTTCGGCCCACGAGGTGCCCCCATTCTTCACGAGGTGCGGTGGGCGAGACCTCAATGCAAGCGCATTGGTTTGTCCGTCCTTCGTCTCACTATCCTATTCCTCCGCGGGGATTGGGGGCAAGACAAACAATAACATTATATGTTTTAATGTGTGAGTTACTCTACCTACTACCCTATCCCTCCTCCTTGTGGTTCGGGTTGTGGGGGCCGCGGCAAGTGGCACATGAGTCTCACTCTTTCAGCCTTTTCGGGTCACTAACGAGTGGCAGGGCCGCAGTATTCTCAACATTCCAATCTTCCCAGGACACGGCCGCAGTATTCTCAACATTCCAATCTTCCCAGGACACGAACGTCTGGCAGGGCACTGGGCTTCTCCCGTGGAATGCCCCCATAGAACATGTGTTGGCTGTGCTGGGTCGTGACACTCGTGCAGGAAAGAAATAAGGCGACGGTCTTGCCCTGACGGGCAACAGCAGAATGGGTACACAATTGACACAGACTTGACACTCATATACATGAGCAAACAACAAACGAGACAAGCACAACGACGACAAATCCCACCAACCCTCTGAGCCTCTTCCGAAGCAATATCTTCTTCATCATCCCTGTCTCCCCGTGGTCATGGGACCCCCTCGCGAAGGTCTGTAGCGTCCGCGGTGCTCCCAGAGACGGGTTCAACATGGTCAACACTAGTCCAATATAGCATTCAACATGATGCAACATAGCTGACATGTTGCCGCGCTTTTTGACAGCCAGGGCGAACGTCAGGAACCAAACGACGAAACAATCGACGCGATAAACGCGTGCCAACCGCGAGCCGCGCCAAACTCGCGCTGAGCGTACAAACGCAAAGCAAGTGGATACATCATTTACGCTCCATGGGCGCGCCAAAAGCGTGCCAGTAAAACGGCATTACAAATGCAAATAGGAACGAAATGTTGCAAGAGGAAGAAAAACTACGCCTTGCAAAAAGACACGATACCACCTTGAACATTATTTTCCTGGAATCACGGTCGCGAACCCTGGCAACGCCTAGAACTTGAGATGAGACCCTCCAACTTCTTCGCGATTCGAGGCTTCAATGCATCGTAGTCTAGCGTCGACGACTCAAGATCGATATCTGCTGTCCTTTCCTCTCCACTTCTGAAGGACTTTGGGAAGCTGGGTCCGATCAGCCTCTAGGAAAGCTGCAAGCTCGTCCAAATGTTCAGTCTTTCGTTGATGAACAAGAACGCGACAGGGAACTCGCACTGGTGATAAAAATGAATCGGGATGCCGCTCGAGCTGAAGAAAATCGTCGCCAGGGTCGTCCAATCACTGCGAGCGACAATTTAGTCATGCCTGTGGCTTTACTTAGCTTTGTCGGCTATAGCTCACAGCGAACCTTTGTGGCCTGATCGTGGAGCCAACCTCTACTGTCCAAAGATGCGACTCCATAGACGGGGCCGCCGCAAATGCACAAGATCTTATGGGGAGCCGTTTGTCGGAGCTTGTCGCCAACAGGGATGTGCTTTATTGTCCAGGTTGGCATGTGATGGTTGGTGGCGATCGGAGGGTTCAGCCGGTTCAACTCCTGCGTCGTGCTCGTGGTGCCCACGCCCCCGACTGAGGAGACGTGGAGGCAGAACTGCCTCGTAGTCTCCAGAGCGCGGCTACCGCGGGCCAGCAGCGTGAAGAGCGCGCTGCGGCGGAACGGCATCGGGAATCGTCAAGATGCGCGGCATATCGACGAGCATGGTTACGGTACGCGTATGGGGTCCAACTGTCGGACATCTCGGCCCAAAGTGGCGTTAGGGGGCCGGAAGAGAGCTATTGAGTGAATCCTCGGCTTCCCTCGAGCTCTTGGATGAACCTGCCGATGCAAGAGAATCGAATCAACACTTCCCGGCAAGCAGCGAAAAAACATGTGTACAAGGCGAGCGGGAATGCCAGCTGCAATTCTCATGTTCACCCCCCCTCATGCACAACCTGCTGTATTCATTCAGACTGTAGTCCGCGAGTCTCGTATGCTCGACCATGCTGAAACACAGCCATGTACAGACTAGGACCATCCTGCGCGCGCGTCGTGCGTGCTCAGGCTGCACTGGTGATTGGATTGGCATGTAAGGAGAAAGAGGCACCAGGCCCGAATGCATGGAACTGCGGGTTTCCAGGCCAATGCGTTCGTTGCTGAAGACGCGATGTAGGACACAGGGCACGGTGAGTGTGGGTGAGGTACACCTTCAAGCCTACATTCATGCAAGCAGGCAGATCTGCATCTTGATATATAGATGCAAGCATACGCAAACCACGCGCGCTTGGCGCGCGCTCAGTTTCAACTCTAGCGCATGTGCAGCGAAAGACTCATGCAGAAACGCATGGGTGGCCAAACTGATAAAAGCAGGCGCAACAATGCCTCACGAAATTCGGAAACAATCGCGAAGAGTGCACCCACCTTGCTCCCAGAGAGCTCAAGAAACGTTTCGAACCATACACCACTATTAATTTCGGGCTGTTCCCCTGACGAGCAAGGAAACAAACACGTGTAAAAGGCGCGCGGGAATGCCGGCTGCAATCCTCATGCTCACCCCCCTCATGCACAATCTCCTGTATTCATTCAGACTGTAATCCACGAGTTTCGGCTGCACGACCATAGTGAAGAAAAGCCATGTACAGACTAGGACCATCCTGCGCGCGCGTCGTGCGTGCTCAGGCTGTACTGGTGACTGGCTTGGCATGTAGGGAGGAAGAGGGACCAGACCCGAGTACACGAAAAACCGCGGGGCAGGGTCAATTCTCTGTTCCATCCCCCTGGGCGACTCCCGGACTCCCAATCCCCACAAGCCCGTTCTGTCAGGCCTGGGCGCCGTCGGACCTCTGACCGCCGTTGGGACTCCCATCACGATCCCGACACCTTCTCGTACCGCCTCCGTGTGCTTGTATTTGTTTCCGCCGGGGAGCCATGGCAACAGCACTCCTGCATTCTCGAGATCTCTACCCTGGCGCTGCCTTGTTGACCATGAAGAGGCCCTCGACCATGACAGGCGTCTGGTCCAACTCCTCTCCGTACAGCGCCACCGTTGCGTTCACGCCAGGAGGTATTGGGTCATCCGCGGTTCCGATCTCGAGAGTACCCCAGACCTTGACACATGCGGGCGTCACAAGCTAGGGTGGCTACCAGACAGGCAACACAAATCTGATGGCCGCGATCGGAGAGACTACGTGGGAACAACCAGCAAAAACAAACGAACCCATCCACCGACCCGAGCCCGAACAGGATCTAGCAGCGGCTAAGCGGACCTTCGCTGAGTGGCAGTTCAGCCTGCTGCTCACGTTGCGAGCGAACTCCAACTTCCCTGTGGGAGGGCCATCAAGTGCCACCTGCATTCGAGACCCGAGAACCCAGACTGACAGATGTCACGAACGACCGAGGAGCTGAGAGGTCGTTAGGGCCCTGGGGCCAAATAGGCCTCCCCCAGCCAGGCTGACGTTCGAGAGACCGCTCTCTGGCGACGCTGCCTCCAGGGCCATCCTCGAAGTCTTCGACTGTGGTCAGCGAAAACGGATCGACCTCACAAACTCGAATCTCGGGCCTGGGGCCCGATTTCCGCAGAGAACCGAAACGACAGACACATACGTAAGCTTTCAGAGGTGCCGCACGGATTTCTTGGCTCATCGCTGGCACTCCTCCCCACTCCCACTCCCTGGCGTGCAGAGCGTGCCTGGGGCGGCGCTGGAGGCGCCACCAAGGGGTGAAGGGGGGGCGGCCCGACGAAGGCCCACGAAATCTGCGCGGACCTCCGAAAGCTTACGTCTACCATTGTGGATGTCATGACAGTGGACGCCCTGACAGTCCCATCATTGGATAAAAAAACATGTGTGTTTCACATGTTTGAACCATGCTCTGAGCATGTTCGAACCATGCTCTCAGCATGCTCCAGACATGCAGAAGCCGTGCTTTAGACACCTGGACAGTATCTGGCACCGTCGTCCACAAGTCGATCATGCACTGCCCTGCCCTGCGGATGCAAGCTCGGCCCCGCCGCTGCGGCGGTGCGTCCCGTGTGCGCGCCCTCGACGCGGGCGAGTGGGCGGTGGCGCAGGTGCGCGGTGCCCGTGCAAGGGCAGGCGAGGGCCGCGAGGGCAGGAAGGGCTGGCATGGAGTAGAGGAACAAACGACGCGTGAGACCTAACCCTTCGGGGCCCCGAGCAAATTTATCCGGCGATGGGCAAACCTCCCTTTAGTAAACCTCTCTTTAGTGAAAACGGCCTGGGACCGAAACCGACGGACCTGGACCCGCAAAAATGACGGCCGCGACGCCCCCTCGCGAACCGAAAACGGCAAATTCGCTAATCGACGTGTCAGGGTAGGAGGTCTGTCCATCCCCGATTTATTGGAACGGCGCTAGGTCCCCCTGGCGGCGTCTCCGGCGCCGCCTCTGGCACGCTCCGCGCGCCAGGAAGGAGCGATCAACCATCGATCCAAAGCATCCGCGCGGATCTCCGAAAGTCTATGCTTCTGCCGTGTGTTCTTCTTCGGCGAAAGGCGTATAAGCTACACCAATCCTTGGCCCAAGAATGGCTTGGCCAGGGTCGTGGTCGGAGTCCTCCGAGGGTGCTTTTGAAGAGCGAGTATTTTCTTCTACGGCGAAAGGCGTATAAGTTACACCGATCCTTGGCCCAAGAATCGCTTGGCAAGGGTCGTGATCGGCGTCCTCCGTGGGGGTGCTCTCGAAGAGCGAAATGCACCGCGACGGCGTGCTTTCGGAGGCCTGCGCAGACGCCTTGGGTCGGCGCTGGCCCCTCTCCCCTTCTGCACATCCCTGGCGGCGCCGCTGGCGCCGCCCCCGCCGCGCTGCGCCGACCCGATAATACAGAAGAGGCTCGACCACAAGAAACCTTTCGCAAGAAACCCAACCCGGAGACCCCAGGACGTGCACTAATGTTAGGTGTGGGGGCGTCACGCCTTCCACAGCAAAACCATCGAGACCCAACAAACCCAACTCACCCCGGAGGCAAGAAAGGGGGCTTCTTGGCATGGGCTCCCACTGTAATACCTGCGCGGCCTCCATGGAACGGTTATCTGTAAGGGTTCTGTGGAATTCTCTTCGTACCCCCCCAATGTGTAGCCGCGTAGCGCTGTTGAGGGCCGTCTGCTCTGAGGGTGCCACTGTTCGTTTTGAACACGGGAGACGTAAGACTCGGGTTTGGAGGACTCGATTTGGTCTGACGTGGCCGTGAAATTAGCCTGGCGAAGGACCCAACCATATGCAGTTGTGAATACCGCACCTGTGAATCTCGTCCTCGGTGGAGCTCCTTATGGGGCCACGAACTGTGTGAGGGGCCTGCCACAGTGGTGGTGGTGGGGGACCGCATGCGGGCACCCCCACTGGGGCCTGCGGTGGAGCTCCCTGTGGGGCCACGAAACGCTGCCCTGGGTGGGGGAACCGCATGCGGGCACCCCCACTGGGGCCTTCGGTGGAGCTCCACGAAACGCTGCCCTTGGTGGGGGAATCGCATGCGGGCACCCCCGCTGCGGCCCGCGGCGGAGCTCCCTGTGGGGCCACGAAACGCTGCCCTTGGTGGGGGAATCGTATGCGGGCACCCCCACTGGGGCATATGGTGGAGCTCCCTGTGGCGCCACGAAGCGCTGCCCTGGGTGGGGGAAACGCATGCGGGCACCCCCACTGGGGCCTGCGGTGGAGCTTCCTGTGGGGCCACGAAACGCTGCCCTGGGTGGGGGAGCCGCATGCGGGCACACCCACTGGGGCCTGCGGTGGAGCTCCCTGTGGGGCCACGAAACGCTGCCCTGGGTGGGGGAAACGCATGCGGGCACCCCCAGTGGAGCCTACGGTGGAACTCCCTGTGGGGCTGCGAAACGCTGCCCTGGGTGGGGGAACCGCGTGCGGACACCCCCACTGGGGCCTTCGGTGGAGCTCCCTGTGGGGCCACGAAACGCTGCCCTTGGTGGGGGAATCGCATGCGGGCACCCCCACTGGGGCCTACGGTGGAGCTCCCTGTGGCGCCACGAAACGCTGCCCTGGGTGGGGGACCCGCATGCAGGCACCCCCACTGGGGCCTGCGGTGGAGCTCCCTGTGGGGCTGCGAAACGCTGCCCACGGTGGGGGAACCGCATGCGGGCACCCCCACTGGCGCCTTTGGTGGAGCTCCCTGTGGGGCCACGAAGCGCTGCCCTGGGTGGGGGAACCGCATGCGGGCACCCCCACTGGGGCCTGCGGTGGAGCTCCCTGTGGGGCCACGAAACACTGCCCTTGGTGGGGGAACCGCATGCGGGCACCCCCACTGGGGCCTGCGGTGAAGCTCCCTGTGGGGCTGCGAAACGCTGCCCTGGGTGGGGGAAGCGCATGCGGGCACCCCCACTGGGGCCTTCGGTGGAGCTCCCTATGGGGCCACGAAGCGCTGCCCTGGGCGCGGGAACCGCATGCGGTCACCCCCACTGGCGCCTTCGGTGGAGCTCCCTATGGGGCCACGAAACGCCGCCCTGGGTGGGGGAAACGCATGCGGGCACCCCCACTGGGGCCTTCGGTGGAGCTCCCTGTGGGGCCACGAAACGCTGCCATGGGTGGGGGAACCGCATGCGGGCACCCCCACTGGGGCCTACGGTGGAACTCTTCATGGGGCTGCGAAACGCTGCCCTGGGTGAGGGAACCGCATGCGGGCACCCCCATTGGGGCCTACGGTGGAGCTCCCTATGGGGCCACGAAACGCTGCCCTGGGTGGGGGAACCGCGTGCGGTCTGGGGCCTTCGGTGGAGCTCCCTATGGGGCCACGAAGCGCTGCCCTGGGTGGGAGAACCGCATGCGGGCACCCCCATTGGGGCCTGCGGTGGAGCTCCCTATGGGGCCACTGGGGCCCACGGGGGGTGGGGAGGAGGGGGGGGGAGGAGGAGAGGAAGGAAGGAAGGAAGGAACGCGGGGCGCTGTCACTTCAAAACGAGGACCCAACACCACAGGATGGTTGGGAAGAAGTGGCGAGGCCCGGTCTGACGTGTGACGCGAGCTCCCGCTTCAAACACCCTACGAAAAATGCGCCGTCAAGCTTGACGGCGGGCCCGTCGAAAAGTGTCGGCAAACCCGATGTGTCCCATGAATTGTCCCGAGTGCTGTGCCGTGGGTTGTCCCCCGTGGGTTGTCCCGTGGGTTGTCTCGTGGTTGTCCCGTGGCATTCCCGTGGCGTGTTCCATGGGCTGCCCCATGGGTTGTGTCGCGGCTGCCGTCGAAGATGCCAAAAGAGGTGGACATCTGCTTGCAATTCGGGTATGTGGTGTTCTACGTGTATATACTCAGTCGGTTGTAAAGAATGTGTGCTCGAATGCTGATATCTGCGATGCACGTGCAATCGAAGACGAATAAACAACACGAGTCCATGTACATAGGTGGCTCTGGAGGACGACTGACTGTGGGTATGCGCGCGTGGTATTGGACCCAGGGCGAAGCTCCGGTTCGAGCGGGGGCCCCGAAGACCCATGACAAATAAACAGTCCTGGGGAATGGGTCGATACCTCTAGGGGTTGACGTTATAAAAAGCGATGAGTATGGGGTCTGGATGTTGGCCCCGATCAGTCACAATCGGATAGGAAAACCGGTTCGCGTCCAAACGTGCGCAGGATCGGGTTGCCTCGGCACATGATCGAAATTGAATCGGATCGGCTGCGCCAGGATGCACGCAACAGCGCCATCCAAGCATAGGGGCGCATCGGATCGTCGGAATATCGGAATCGAATCGAATCGGACTGACCGGAAAAGATATCGAATCGGATCGATCCGAAAGATTCAGAGCACCTACAACGCGCGGAGGGCAGGGGAGGGGAGGGGGGAGAGCCTGAAAGGGAAACTCCAAACATGGCTGTGTAAACGGTGATGTCAAGAGAATGGAGCGGTCAGTCGGATATGGTGATGAGAAGAGACATAGAAAAGCCTCTTGTCTCTCCCAGCGACTCAAATCGAGAGCAGGTTGCCTTGAGCCGGAACAGCGGCGGGCAAGCGGGCATGCTACGTTCCCCCTTTTGGGACGTTCCATCAAAGTCGAGGGGGAACGAAGCCCGACCGCTGCTGTCCCTATGCAGGCTCAAGACGACCGCAAAATGTCAGGTAGCCGCCTAACACGGCGACCTTCGCTGCAGCGAAGCAAGGGCCAGGAATAAACAAAAACAGCGACGATGCGAAGTGCTGGGCCATGTATCCATGGACCAGTCAGCTCAGCACCCACATGCAGCAGAACTGAAGTAAACTGAGCAGATCCAGCTTTTGCTGGGCCGGCCAGCAGGCAAACCAGAAAGCCCTGCAAGATGCCGGCGGGGCTGATCCCACATCGGGCAGATTGATTATTAGCCTCG